GGCTACAGAATCTGAAAAGAAAGAAAGAAAACGATTTTGTATACAGCGCCTCTCAAGATAACAGTCATGTGGTGCTTCACAAAAACAAAATCAATTTAAGTACAAGAAAGATTAAAAATATATTTAAAATAAAAAAAAATATTTGTGAATTTAAAAAACGTCGAGAGAGAGAGAGAGAGAGAGAGAGAGAGAGAGAGAGAGAGAGAGAGAGAGAGAGAGAGAGAGAGAGAGAGAGAGAGAGAGAGAGAGAGAGAGAGAGAGAGAGAGAGAGAGAGAGAGAGAGAGAGAGAGAGAGAGAGAGAGAGAGAGAGAGAGAGAGAGAGAGAGAGAGAGAGAGAGTAAATAGGAAAGAGGGAAATCAGTGAATCCCAGGAAAGGTGGAGCAAGAGCAGAATAAGGAGAGGGTGTTGCTGATGGTCACACCAAAACCAGCTTGAGCAGGTGAGTTTTCAGCTGCTTTTTAAAGGAGACCACTGAGTCCACCGATCTCAGGCTCAGGGGGAAAGAGTTCCAGAGCCTGGGGGCCACAGCAGCAGATGACCTTTGGTCTTTAACCTGGTGCTGCACAACCAGTAGGCTTTGGTTACTGGACCTCAGTGACCTGCTGGGGGTGTAGGGACAGAGAAGACTGATGGCAGGGGCAGCAATTTTCCACCCCTTGGAGGTGCAACTGACTGATGGTGACCTGGCTTTGTTGCTACTGGACTTGTAAGTAATATTTTTTGTCCAACAGTGTGGATCCTTTGTTTTATTTTAGTATTTGACTCATGTTCGTGTTAGCCCGTTGTTAGAATTAGCTACAGCAGTTGTACCACTTCCAACCAGTAGGGCAGAGGAGCAGGAAACTGTTCTGTCCCTTTAAAAGCTGTGGTTTTGACTACACTACACTACATTATATTTACATTTATTTTTAGATTTCTTTACACATTTAAGTCATAAAAACCCATCTGTTCCCATTAAAACAAAGGTAACCCTATGTTTATTAATTATGTGTGGCACAATTAAAATAAATTATGCCATGTAGGCACCCTCACCAGTGTAAATAGTATCTTCAAAGCCTTGAAAGGACATCGTGTCTGTCCCTCACACAGGCATTAGGACTTACCCCTGTGTCTTTGTTTGCACGGTGAAGGTGATATTAGGACTGGCATGGGGACAATCCCACCGCAGGAGGCAACCTAAGTCCAGCGATTCCACAGTAGTGTAGCAGACTAACCCAGTCGACCCTGGAAGGTTCGCACGAAACCAGGAAACAAAAATAGCACAAACAGTTGCTCAATGGCCCCTTAAGTCTAATTATCACATCTTTTATGAGCGTAGCAAACATGGGGGCACACACAAACAGGAGGAAAAACAACCCAGGTTGTGAAAAAAAGACAGAACAAGACACAATGTAATCATGTAGTAAGATTACACAGATGAAGAGTACAAGACCAACACAAGCACCACTCGTCAACTTCAGGACTCACGAGGGATGATCTGGATGATGATGATGATGATGACGATGAAACCGAGCCCACCCACAGCTCTAAACCATGCAACACCTTGTGTCCTCATGACAACTTTGGGAGCTCTACGTCAAGAAAGCGACGCCATCCTGAGTGTGTGCCGCATGAAACCGTACAGCGTTGAAGGTTTACGTCCTTTAAAACAACACCTCAGGAGCCATGGAAGAGTCAGAATAATCTACAGAGGGAGGAAGGAAGGCGTGGAGCAAACAAGAGGGTGAAGGAGGAGTCAATTAAAGGCGAGTGATTTTGTAAAAGAGGATAGGCTGCGTGATCCACTTAAAGAGGGAGGTGAGAAAACCCCTCTTAATTAGAGCATTAGAACTGAAAGATGCTGATTTGAGGCTCCGCACGTCCTGTCCTGAGGTCAGATCGGTATTTCATCAAATGCAATCAGGCAACACATCATATTTATGTCTAATACGTTTTATGTTCAGTTTTCTTTTTAAGTAGATCCCATCCATTCACACTGTGTCTGAAAAATGGAAATAAGGGCAGTGTTTGACATAATTCTACAGGTGCAGGTAACAAAATTATAACATCATAAAGCTGATTTGTTTCAGTAATTCCATTCAAAAAGTGAATCTTGTATATTGGATTCATCATACACAGGCTGATATGTTTCAAATGTTTATTCATTTGGATAATTGTAACTGACAACTAATTAAAATCAGCTCAGTGGGCTAGTGGTAGAGCGTTTGTCACAGAGATGTTGCACTTATGTGATATTTTATATTGCATGTTTTACTTGTTTTTATTCTGATGTGCATGTTTTTATTGATGGTGTGTTTTTAGTTTGTTTGGTGCAACATTGTGTGTTCATTCTGTGTAATCAGCACCTGGAGTACGGTCCTGGAGGATGGACGGCGGCCTATAGCGCGGAGGAGCGTGGGTGTCCCTCCCTCCACACATGTGCGGCGTGCGTACAGGTGCCACTGAGTCCGGTCGGAGTCTTGGACAGAGGAGGGGGTTCACCAGCGGCACGGAGCAGCAGCAGCAGCGGAGAGCGAAGGGTTGTAAAGGCTTCCCTGTCCAGCTCATGCAGGGCCGGACTGGACTGCTTTGTCCCCCGAGGCCCAGCACAGATTTATTTTAGGAGTTTTATTTTGGGCATCATCATCCGTGAACTTTTGGAATAAATTCCCCTTTTTAATTTGCTTTTGTGGTTGCACTGCTTGCCTTGTTTTTAGAACCTATTTTAATCTTTTAATATTAGTGGCACCATCCACCCATTCTACCTGGAACGTGTCACACGTTCACCCTGGGACGGGGACAAATCCCAGTCAGGTCATACCAGAGACTTCATAAAAATGGGACCCAAGGTTCAAGGTAACTTTAATACCCACAGGTAAATTTGATTTGCCATGTGACACGAGAATTAGCGCCCAGGTTACACACAGACGCACACAAAGCACACACATCAGTGAAGAATAAACAATAAGTGAATAAAATAAAATAGCCACGCCAGACTCAGTTCTTACTGAGTAACGTTACTGCCTCGGGAATTAAGCTTGTTTTGTACCTCTTGGTCCTGCACCTTGGCACAATAAATCTCCGTCCAGATGGCAGGAGAGTAAACTGGCCATGTAGTGGGTGTCCCGTGTCCCTAACAATAGCTTTAGCAATCCTCTCTACCTGTCCACTGTACAGCTGTGCCACACTTTTCCCTGGTTTTCCAAGCAGACGACCCGATCACTTCCTGTTTAGTGTTTCCTTTTGCTTAAGATTTACCTGACCAAACCATGAGGCTAAGGAAAAGGATAAAACACTGCAAATAAAAGAACAATAAAACATGGACATTGTAGTCCTGTCCACATGGAATGAGGCCAGTTTTCTAAGGCAGCACAAACGCTGCTGGGTTGGATTGGGGGGTTAGACCACCAAATTGTTCCTGAGCATGGCCGTGTCTGCAGCTCACAACTAACCCATGGGAATGGGTCAAATGTGGAGAACAAATTTCACACCTGTGTGTGTGTGTGTGTGAGACAAATATGGGACTTTAATCTTCAAAATCCCAAATTCAGCATCTCAGAAAAATTGAATATTTATAAAAGGTTCAATACTGAACACGCCTGGTGCCAAACTCTAATTACCTCAAAACACCTGCAAAAACCTTTAAATGGTCTCTCAGTCTAGTTTTGCAGGCTACACAATCATGACGACCATTGACGCCTTTCACAAAAAGGTAGTCACCTGAGATGGTTTTCCAACAGTCTATCCTCATATAAACCCTCTTGATCTATTACGATAGCGCGACTTGGGTTGCGAATGACTACAGTCCCCAATTCTTGTCATGTGTCTACGCATGTACAGTGGTGTGAAAAACTATTTGCCCCTTCCTGATTTCTTATTCTTTTGCATGTTTGTCACACAAAATGTTTCTGATCATCAAACACATTTAACCATTAGTCAAAGATAACACAAGTAAACACAAAATGCAGTTTTGAAATGATGGTTTTTATTATTTAGGGAGAGAACAAAATCCAAACCCACCCTGTGTGAAAAAGTAATTGCCCCCCTTGTTAGCCATTTCTAAAGCTTTGGGACTCCAGCGAACCACAGTGAGAGCCATTATCCACAAATGGCAACAACATGGAACAGTGGTGAACCTTCCCGGGAGTGGGCGGTCATCAGGAGAATACCAAGAGTGTAGAAAGCAGTAATCAGAGCAAAGGGTGGCTTTTTTTGAAGAAAACAGAATATAAAACATGTTTCCAGTTATTTCACCTTTTGTGGTTAAGTACATAACTCACGTGTGTTCATTCGTAGTTTTGATGTCTTCAGTGAGAATCTCTCAATGTAAATGGTCATGAAGATAAAGACAACACATTGAATGACAGGTGTGTCCAAATTTTTGGCCTGTACTGTAAACCTTGTGACTTTGCAGAAGCTTATAGAAACAACACCACAGTGAATGTGTGCTGTCATCAAAGCTAAAGGCGGTCCAACGAAATAAGAGTGTGACCTTTTCTTTGGCCAGGCAGTGTACTTGGGCCACAATCAGATTTATGCGATGATGATATACAGCACAAATGCTGCAAAAAGTACGCTCAAGGAAACAAGCTGGTGAGAGTTTTATATGTGCAGATAAGACTGAACTTTTTAGAGCTTACTGTTCCCTCTACACTGCCCCTTTATAGTATTTAAAAAAGGAAAAAGCGAGAAAGCTAAATGCGGCATACAACGATGCTTTCAGATATCTGTTAAACCACCATGTGTGAGTCATGTTTGCAGTGCAGTGTCTCTGGATTTGAAACTATAGGGAGAAATTTTGTGTATAAATTCATGTGTAGGTGAAACAACTCCGTCAGTGAGATGGTTCTGGTTTTAGTGCGACCAAAACTTCGGTGCACCAGATATACATCTGCTCATTGGAAGCACTGTAGTAGATCTCCACATGTATTCTGTCTTTTATACTAAACCTGTGTCTGTTAATTAAGTTCATATATTTGACAGAGAGGGGAGGACAAATGCTAATAAACGTGACCAAGATAGTGCATTCTATCTTTATTCAATTCCATCTTTAAATAAGAATCTGTACATCTCAAGCAGGTCTGTGACCATTCATTTCCAAATATAATAAGTTTCCTTTATACAATAATACAGTTGAAGAGCTTAAACAGGCAACCAGAACGGCCAACGAAGATCATACAGCAACAAAAATAGTCGTAAGAATGGTGAAAGACGCACGCACGCACACAGCTCTGCACCATACAGCTCTTGTTAATTAAGACATTAAAGCAAAACTGCCTGTTCATTCAGAAGCAACACCAAACAACAAACAAAAACAAATCCTTGCAGCAGTATTAATACTAAGCTTAACATTCCTTGTTTCAGCATTACCATGATCAGCTTTCATAAATAATCTTTACAGCTTTTACTGGTACACGACCAGCTGACTCGGATCAAAACTGGAGCGTTCGCATGCTGATCAGTTCTGGACACAACCAGTCAAATCAGATGTCCCCAGTGGTGGCGCCCTCTGTCCAGCAGAGGGCGCCACCACCAAAAGGTCATGTCCCACATCTTTCTTGGAGGGAGTCTAAAGTCTGGACAGTATTTCAGTGAACCCACATAGACACTCGAAGTCTCCTGTGCAACAAAAAGAAAGTGTCTGGAAAATAAGACGAGTATTGCTGCATAAAAATCTGTGCAAATTCTAAGAAGACCCGCTTAGATTCCAGGGAAGAGCTTTAGGTAAAGCTTGCTCATTTGGTGTTGAAGGGTTATGTCTGCGCCCCAGGCAAGGCGAGTCCAGGCTCCAGGCTGGTGTTGGTGGTTGTGGGAGGGGATGACGATGGGAGGCCCTTGAGTCCTGAACAGAGCAGCCCACGAGAGGCCACATGGTCCCCGTTCAAGTTTTTGTAGGGGTTTCTGCGCGGTGGAGCTCTGAGACACACCGAGGGGAAGCGAAGTCCAGCCAAGCAGCAGCCGGGGCAAGAGATGACCTCCTCCTGGTCCAGGGAGTGTCCACTGCCAGAAACAAAGGGAGATGAGCCAGCAGGGTCGCTGGGAGGGGTGTGGTAGCCATTGTTGTTGGTTAAAGGAGTGTTATCATCGCTCCAGCCTAACGGTCGACTAATGACCACGTTTTGGTTGTCCAAACTCGAGAGGGGAGGCAGACATGGAGGTCCGTTGGATATGGCTGACCCCCAGCCATTAGAGAAGGGAGGGGTGGAAGGTTGAAAGGGAGTTGAGGAGAGGGCAGGAGGAGGAGGTCGTTTGGAGTCCGGAGATGAGATGTCCTGAGAATCAGGAGAGCTAGTGAAGTCCATGGGTTCCTCCCTCACCTCCTCCTGCTGCTCGTGGTCCAGGAAGTCCATCGACAAGGGTTCAGTAGACAACGGAAGACCTGAATCGCCTGCCAGACAAGACTCACTTTCACCTCCTAACAGACGGTCCTCCTCACTTGCTTTGTTCCTGTCACTGGAACACACACACACATTGTCCGTGTCAGACGTCGACCCCTCCTCGGTGAGCACGAATTTCGGAGCCGCCATGAGGTGTGGAGGAGGCGTACAGGGCAGTGAGTGGCAGCGCCTGTGCCTCCTGGGCATTTCGTCCACATCATCTTCAGATACTGGAACATCGTTACAGTCTGGTGGAGGAGGCAAGGCGAAGGTCAGGGAGATGACCGACTTGCTGGGAGTGTCGAAAAGCTTGATTTTCCCGCCTTTAAGGTCCTCCCGCTGAGAGAAGGGGTTGACTCGAGCAGGAGTAGCCATGGTAACACAAGAGGGCGCGTCCGTAGAATGCAACATGTCGGACTTGCTGCGGGAGAGGTGAGGATCTGACATCAGGTTGAGAGACCGCCTTCGTAGAGGCCTGGCAGCTGGAGATGCAGCTTTACAGAAAATTAAACCCGTGTTAATATAGAGGCACATCATAAGTTTTATTTGGGGAAGAGAATAAAATGTCCCACCATCAATCAGGGGTTCATCCCTCTGCTTTCGCTCAGCTTTATTCTTCTCCAGCACGGCTACGATTTGGGAGAAAGATGGACGGAGATTTGCATTCATCTGCCAGGAAGAACCAACAGAACACATCAGAATACAGACATGCACTCATTTATTCATTTCATTATATACATGCTGAAGCCTAAACAGCGGAAACACCGTTAGTTTTTTACTCGTTATTCCCTCAGTGGAACAGAACATAGATAATAAGGGTGAAAATCACTAATTTGATCACAATATGATGCTGTGTTGATACAGTAGATGGCAGTGGTACCTCGTCCATAGAGGGCGCTGCCCTCACTGACTTGAAGGGAGAAAAAAAACATCTAAAACGTAAATAAAGCTACCACACATATTCATATATTTACTATAAATGTGTCAGATTTGCTTAACTGTGTGTGCCTGCATGCAACCTGAATTATTTACTCAGCATTTACACCAGCTGTCTCATTAAACAGTGAGCTTCCTTCACCAAATTTACTAATTTCCCTCCTGGGGTACTGGAAAAAGCACCCCATAACTGCAGCTTAACAGCCAATCACATTTGGTTGCTAGGGAGAACTTGGGAATGTTGTGCCCATCCGCATCTCTGAATTTAATGTCTCTGGGCTACAGAAATCAACTAGTTAGCAAGCGAAAATGTGCTCATCTCATTTTCACTCAGACACACACACACACACACACACGCACACACACACAAATATATATATATATATATATATTATTTTTAATTATTTCACTGGATGACAATATAATCAATGTTGTTAGAATTAATATAAATGGGAGCAAAAAGAAGAATGTCCTAAATTGGCTTTGAGATGCCTACAGAAGACACGGCAGCAGACGGGACAAAGAAAAGGAGCATATTAGTCATGGTGTGTGTTAAATGAGTGTTTCCTACATTACAGCAAGAAATGGCCAAATCCAGGAAGTCAGGTGGGCAGTCCTCCACCATCAGCTGGAAAGCCTCAACATCCAGACCAAAGTCCTGAATGAAAAGAAAGTTAAAGTTATTCTCACGATTAGAGTCAGTAAGGGTTTTCTTAATGAATGTAGAATATATTCTGCCTCCACATCACCCCAGTTTTACAGTCCCTCCACTGGCTCCCGGTAGAATATAGAATACAGTTTAAAGTTTTAGTCCTGACCTATAGAGCTCTCAACAACCAGGCTCCAAGCTACCTATCTGAGCTTTTATCCCCACACTCCACCTCTCGGAACCTTAGATCCACATTTGAAAACCTCCTGGCTGTTCCTCGAACCAGACTGAAAACCAAAGGGGACAGGGCCTTTCAGACTACTGCAGCCAGACTTTGGAACAGTCTACCTTCAAATCTCCGTCTCTCTAACACTGTAGAGGTCTTTAAAAATCATCTAAAAACTCACCTTTTCATCCAGGCGTTCCCTCCCTAAATGTTCTAAAAGATGGCTTTGTTTGGGTTCACACCTTCACTTTGTTTATACTTATGATTTTATTTTCTACTTTATCACTGCTATTGTTTTTTGGATGTTTTTATTGGTTAGAGGTATTTGCCCTGATCTTTATCATGTTGTAAAGCGCTTTGTGATTTATATCTGTGAAAGGTGCTATATAAATAAACTTTTACTTACTTACTTACTTACTAGAGAGTGCCCTAGCATAATTTTAGCGGCAGTACCTCTAACCAAACACAAGGGGGACTAGCATCTGCACAATGACCAATGAAGTCTCCTAACGCAGTGAAACTCTGATTAATAACAGTCAGAAAATAACTAATAGCATTTTTTTAACCACATTGAGTTTTTAAAAGATTTTAAAACTGATTTTTTTTTCACTAGATGCAATTTTTTAAAATATATTTACAACCGTTAGCTGCTCCTGCTTAGTGCAGCATTAACAGCATTTAGGTTACTAACTACTCATGCGCTTTGTTTTTACATCACTATCAACAAACACAAAAACACACACTCTAAGCTCATCTCTGAGGAGTTGATCACATAAGTAGGTCAACTTGCTGTTTTTTCCATGATAACTCAACAAACATTACTGAGTGGTATATCTTTCCTTTTTTGTTTGCAAAGTCAGCCCTGATATGATGCAATATTTTAAAATAATCGAGTTATGACAGAAGTGGTTGCAAAACATTGTTGCGCTGTTAAGTATTTTATACCCTGACAGAAAGAAACAGTCTTTGAAGAATAAGTGGATTAAATCTAAAACTGCATGATCTACTTTCAACATGCTTTTCTTGGAAGCAGAGTTGTTTCCATGTCAGGTTTTGGCACTTCCTGATAAGCTGCAATCTCATTTTGTCTTTTCGTCTTTTAGATGAGAGTAGGTGTGTGACCAAGCTGCCCTCATTATTAGGCAATACCCGCAAGGCTCACACGGTTTGTTTAGAAAGATCCCCCCCCCCCCCCCCCCAATCTTTTAAAAAAGCTACTTCAACCTGATGTGTTTGAGAATGATGAGGGTGTGAAACAGAAAAATGCTCGCGCTCATGACGAGAATTTGATCGCCGTTACCGCAGTTCGTGGCAAGATGTCTGGGTCGGCCTGTATCCTCGCAATGATCTCACACAAGATGATCCCATATGCAAAGACGTCAACCTGCAGGGATCAACACACAAAAGCACCTAATATTAGATCCAATGAGACAAAACCGTAGCAGGAAAGAAACCTGTAACTCTTGAGTTTAACTGGTACTGGCATTATCTTGTTACACAATAACATTAATGCAATATTCAATATGTGTACAATACCTGATGTACATTAGTATGTCAGTTTTTCTTCTTCCTTTACTCTTAAAGGTACAATGTGTAGTTTTTACCATTAATTTCTGGAAATATCCACCAAAATGTTGTTTTACACATTTGCCTCTTCACTTGTTGCCAGTGATGAAAGGGAGTCTGATGTTCTTGTCATTTTGCTTAAGTTTGCACTCCCCAGGGCTTTTTGACCCTAATAGGCATTCGTTGGCAAGGTCTCACTCAAACACAAAAATACTGCTTGCTTGCTATGATTTAGCTATCTACTGCCCCTATCACCAGGAAAAATACACACTGTCACTTTAAGTGTATGTGCTGCTGGAGCAAGTGAATTTTCCCCACTGTGGGATTAATTCTGAATCTTATTTTATGAAACTTCAGAAAATTGCAAAATTTGCACTCCTTTTTTCTTCTAAATAGGTATAACTTGGAACAATATGCAGATTCTTATTTACTGAAAAACACCTGAAATACATCCGATTAATTTAAGTGGATATGCATTAGGTAATTTTAATCACAGGGCTAACATTTCTATTCACAATCTGGTTTCCACAAATCTGGAGTTTCCGTTTACATAAAAAACAAACTTAAAAATTAAAATTCAATACTTCTTTTACTCAACTTCTACCAGGTTCAACCAAGAGCTGACAAACAGGCCTGTTATGTAACAGCAGGTCATTTAGCTTTAAGGTAACAGAACATATTAAGTATTTATTGCATTACATAATCGCAGAGTTCATTAGTTTATTTGAGCGGCTAGTATCACACCCACAGTGGACCTTGAACTCTTGCAACAGTCTACAGCTCAAAGGGGGGTGAAAGTAAAGAAAGCCTCCAGTCAGTACCTTCTCGTTATACACCTCTCCTCTGAGCACCTCCGGAGCCATCCAGTAGGGGGAGCCCACAACAGCCAGAGGCTCTTGGGCTTCTTCCTCACTGTTGAGCATAAAGAAAAGGATAAGAGTGGCTTATTTACAGCTAAACGCTAACCTTGCGCTGCAAGATGAATTCTTGCGAGATTTGGAGTTTTCTGAACTTAGGAGAATCCTGAAATGTGTAGACTTGACGGGGCGGGGCAACACAGAGATCTGGCTGCTGCCAGGTTAGCTAATCTCTTCCAACGTTTAAAACACACTTGTGTTTACATTAATGGATTTTGTGTTAAGAATATTAATTATGAAAAACAAGCGCTACAATGGCAAATTTGAAAAAAAATTAGCTCAAATTTTTTTTTGCCATGCCTCTCGTCAACGTTCCAACAGTGAGTAACACGTTTCGGACCAAAGCCAACTACTGGACCCTTCCGTCCAAAGCATTTCCCCGAGTCCTCTATATTCACACTCACATATTTAAGCAACAGATCGTCACTGGTGCGAGAGATTCTCCACTCCACGGGGTGCGATTTGGTGGGGGTGGGGTGGGGTGGGGGTGGGTGGATTTTCCACTCCTCTGCTTTTGATGTCCCTCCCCCTCTGGCAATTAAACCTTTGTCCTGGGGGAGGGGGGGGGGGGGGGGGGTTAATTTACTTTTTTGTTCTTTCTGTAGGAGGATCTTTTGTGACATCAATGTTTATGTTTGTCGCATTGAATCATGGGGGTATGTGGCAAGAAAAAGCGTATTTTGCCTATAATTCAATTGTTTTGCATGTTTGGAGGAAGATTTAGTGAAGCAAATGGATCTTTCCTGCTGTGTGGTTGATAGCTTGGCCCGTGTGAGGCGTGATAAAAAAGTTTTATTGGGATTTTCTCCATAAACGACCATAAAATACGAACAAGATAATCGCGGGCGACCCGGACTCTGCGAAGAAAACCTGGACAACGTTCATTTTGTTTGGTAAGTCCTTCTGACTAAGTATTTGTTAGTTAAAGAAAATGCTTTCAAAAACATTCAGTGTTGTGTACTGTTAAATCCACCGAGTCATATTGTATTCACGTTCTGATTTCAGATGTCTCGACCAGTGATCGCTATAATAATGTTAATAGATAAATAAGGACACCGATTAATGAAGACTAACCCAGCTTTACAGTTGCTGTGAGGAGTTATCCGTTTTATTTGGCCATCACCCACAGGTGATGTAAATAAACGCTTTAACTCTGCTCGTCGGAGCCGACTGCTGCTATTAGCATGACCACCGCGTTCTGTTTTCAGAAGAGGTCGGTCCAACTTTTCTGGAAACAAAATAATCGTAGACCTCCGGACGTCTGAAAGCCTTTCGTTATCATGAGTGAAGGGTCTAGAGCTTTCTAGCAGATTTGTGAGGAAATCACCGGTGAATCAGACCAAAGTTTTCTGTCATCCCAGAGCTCATACGAGTTTTTAATAACTTGAATTTTGTCTTCAGTACAGATTTTAAGATTCTCTCTAAACCTCCCCTTGTCTTTGGGCAGTAAAATGTTTATATATCGGGGATTTTGACCATAAACTCTCTTAAAAGTGTACGTCACATATTGATAGCAGGCCATATTGTCTTTGTTTTTGCCACCCAGCCACTTGTGCATGTGCACAAAGATGAAAAAAGATGTCAACATAACTCATAATTATGTTTTTTTCCCTGTCAATTTCAAAAGGGGAAACCTACGTACAAAATACCCTGCAATCGGCATACAAAAGCATGTTGTAATTTTCATAAGCAATTAGTGAAAGAACCCCACAGCTCTGACGGAGGTTTCTCAGGAACGACACCCAAGGAGAGAAGTGTGTTTTGTGACCGTGTTTGCGTTGAAAACCTAGCTTGTTCTGTATATTTGCTATTGCAGCTTTAAACGGACCGTGTTAAAGAAATACGACAACATTTGTCACTTTTCTCTCATTTGTTCTTAAAAATGGGTAGCTGACAAAGTCCTTCAGATAACGTTTATGACAAAGTCCTTCAGATAACGTTTAAAATTCATTCCAATACTCTCAAATGGCTGTAAAATAAGTTAGAATTTAGAAGCAATATAATGGAAGAGGGGGGAAATGTAAAGAGTTTATCCTTTGATAGTGCTATACACAGTGGATAAGTCTGGATTGTTATGAGTATGGGGCAATCAAAGGGTCACAATACAATGGTCCAATATCCTTACATTACCATCACTAGTGTTTGGAATTGGAATTGCATCCACCTATAGTTTGATCATCATGAAAAGGACACAAGTGATAGGGCAGGTGCCCTTCAGAGTTGAATCAATTTGGTACCAATTTCCAGTACCTAGGAAATAATTCCTGTACTTAAAGGTAACAATTTGATACTTCTGAGTGTTTAATAATTTATTTATTCTCTTTTTGAATTAAATATTTTTTTTTCGACAGAGACGAGCCTAAGTCTCCTCGCTTTCTGGTCGGCTCATAGGTCCCATGCAAGTCATCGGGGCTAAAAGAGCTATTTTCTAATCCACTGTGCCTTACTACCTGGATCACACATATGTTGTACTGCAATTTAAAGGAAAAGTAATGATGGGTGTTTCGACCATACCTGTCACGTACATTGAAATTTATTAGCTTGTAAATTTTCGTAATTAGCATGACTACATCGGCACGTTGCATATTTAACATCAACACAATCTCCTCTCCCCTGCTACTTACCAAATGGCCACATTTATGGTGGTTGCTTCCTCCTGTGGGAAGGATTTGAAGTTTGCTGAGCTTACAGCCATTTTTCCTCAGTCTGGTTTGATGACGTCACTTTCATGAAGTGCATTTGTAGTCTTAGACTTCTTTTCACACAGAACCTAAAATAGCGTTTCCCCTCTTTCGAAAATAAGCGCGTTCTTGGTATCAAAACGTGTCTTTCAAATTCACAGACATCAAATGTGAAATCCACTGAACATAACAAGCAGAATTAGAAAAAGCATTTTTAGCCCCATTGACTTGCATTCATTTTTTCGTTATTCCGAGTATTATAAAACTACAAATGAAACAAAAACAAACTTTAAATACCATACAACTGTATTTTATTATTGTGGTGTTTCACAAACTATAACCCATCTCCATGTACCTATACTTCTCTCCTTTCGCCTCGGGACAAACTGCGTGATGGGTGGGTCCTCTTAGTATTATAAACTGCTAATTAAACTGAAACAAACATCTTTGCTGTGAACTAAATTAAGTGTGCATCTTCATTCTGTTTGCAGTTCTTTTTCAAACTGTTGATTTTTCTGACTCAGAACTCTGAATTTTTGAGTTCCCAGGAGAAAGCAAACGCATCATTAGCTGAAAGTTTGATATTTGAGCGCTCCATTGCTAACGTTATCTTAAAACAGTTAATTTACCTGCTGTAGCAGATTAAGATGATGCTCAACTTTGAACGTTGCTGATGTTGTCATCACCCAGTCACAGATCACATTTAGTGAAGTGAAGCCAAACTTTAGCGGCTTTCTCTCTGCCTACTTGGAAGTAGGAATTTCCAAGTACCGAAGAGAGAGCGAACGCACGATTAGCTGATAGCAACGGAAGCTCAAATGTCAAGCTAACGTTTTTGTAAACAGTTTACTTAACTGCTGGAGCAGATTAAGATGATGAAAACTCACAGCGTTGACAATGTTGTTATCATCACCCAGTCACCAATCACATTTAGTAAAGTGGACCCAAACTTTAGAGTGCGTTCTTTCTACCATGCTGCTTGCTCGGTTTACATCTCGCTCGCAGCGACAGACGGCATAACGCTCTTGCATGTGCGCTGCTGTCTATCTTGAGAAATCTGGTACAGAACTCTGTGGTACCGAAACAAGGCACTGTTACATAATCACATGAATCAGTCCTTGGATGGTACCACAGAATTCGGTTGGTGCCTTAAAAAGTACCTAATACGGTCCCCATCCCTACTTCATTGGGCCAATTAGATTTCAGCAGGGGACAATGCCCCTGTGGCCCCATGCCTAGAATCGCCAATGACTTTACGTACATTTCTGTTCATTTTTGACAGAAGTTATAAGAAGACATTTAACAAAAGATGCAATTATTTTCTTTAACCCTCCCACTGTCTTTATGGGTGACCCCACGAGGAAAGTTGATCATTGAGCAGGATTGATGGTTTATCCCATGAGGTCCACGTGGCAGGGGTGAGGTGGTGCTCATTCCTCACCCCTGCCATGTGGACCCAAGGGATAAACCATCAATGGTCAACTTTCCTCGTGGGGTCACACCCATTAGGACAGTGGGAGGGTTAACAATAAAACAAATAACAAATGTTCTAGTATAAAGAAATTGACACTAATGTGGCAGGCTGTGTGGGAAATCAACTATAAAATGTTTTTATACCCTTCGATTAATAATTTATGCCGATAGAAGAGACTGTTTATTATGTAGTTTCTTTATGTAGGACGCTAAGTCCCCTTGGCAAAACTGACTTAACAGATGCTACATAAAAATATTTTAAATTATAAATGAATATGTAGCACAAAACCGATGTAAACATTTTAATCTGTTTTAGCAGCCGTTTTATTTGCATGACATGGAGGGTTAGGGTTTCAAGAATCTTTTAGTATTGTGCATTCATGGACCAAAGCAAAATCTGATTTTTGAGTTTCAGATCCACCAGTCGGAATCTGTTAGTGCACCTGTGTGAACCAGTCACAACAGTCTTAAGATTTAGTGTGGTCAATAATTAGTGTACATAAATTTAGTACATAAAGTACATACATTTCAGAACACCGTCAGAAAATACTGTAGTAGCCATGCAATTATATTTTCCTGATGTTTGCTACATGAAATTATAATGCATCATTTTAGTAGGATGATTCATTCATTCAAATGTGAATACTTGCAAATAACCCCCCACAGATGTACCAAATGCTATGTGGACTTCATTCCCCCACCCCAACTCAGCAGCCTCGGATGTGCAGAAAAACATCAAACGTGACCAACCGAGTCAAGCAGAAATAACGTCCCATTTGATCAACACTACAGGTCCAGTGGGGCTTTCTAGAGTGAAAACCCTCATCAGTGTGCAAATGTT